AGCATAAGATGATTTGGGTCATGTTTCTTCTCTCCCACCCCCGAGTACATAATTCTATCAAAACCTCAAGACGACAGTTCAAACATTTACCTAAAAATCTCAGTCATCTGCTGGCCCTTTTGCAGCAAAAAATAATCAAGGACAAAATGCTTTCTGGTTTCTCTTTAGTAATGATGTTGCTTATTGGTGGATCAGAATTTTTTTAAATAAGAAAGTTTCCTGTTGGAGTGTCTAACAAGAGAAATCAATTCCCTTCCTCCAAAACCCAGGTTAATCACTATTAAATGAGCTTTGCACGCTCCAAGCCTAACATACGAAATACATTTAAAAGAAAGTATTTCTTACTCTGTTCTTTTCAATAACTCCCGCCATGAGAATGAGCTCCCTCTGTACTGCCAGCAACAATGCTGCAGACAACAAAATTCATGAAAAATGGAAGCAGCTGGAGATCTCAGAACAGTTCATCATCCCACAAGAAAAAATTTGAAGAAGAGGTATGGGGAGTGAGGCCAGATCAGCATACAACCATCCACAACTGGAATAGAAAAAGCCAGGTACTGCTCCCTGGTGTACTTTTGCAATGCTCTCTCCAACAGCATCAGATGAGTTTAATCACAGCTTTCCAGGGACACCAAAGGGCCTCAAAACAATACTGGGTTTTTCATTCTTATTTCTACTCAAGCCATATTTTCAGATACCACATTTAACTAATGTTATAAATAGATGCAACTTATTTGTGTTAAAAGGCTCTACACACTGACAGGATGCCTGTCATATGCAGGACATCACGACTCAACTATAGGCTGAAGTATATCCTGTTCTAATGGCAGAAATCAAGAAAGTGAAGTTCACACACAACTGGGTCACTAAAATAACAAAACAGTCCAGAAGACACATCAATGAGCTGTTTTTTATTATAAAATTGCCCGCATGTTTTCAGACTCTTTTCCTACAGTTGTGATTACACTGCACCTCATTTTACCTCATTTTCAGCTCTGCTACTTTTCACAACTAAAAAACAAATTAAAGTTGTTTGCTTAGGGTTACAAGTGGTTTCCATACACACTCATTACTGTCTCACTGAACAAGGTCACTTTCCAATACATTGATACAGCCTGTAGCCTAAGCCTCCATTAGCTTCAAATTTTGCTGAAATTAGAGCCAATGGTTTGTACTTATACAGCAATTTTAATCAAACCTCAAAACACTTAAGATGGGTTCATGCCTTTCCAACATACTGAAGCATAGTGAGGTTAAGTTACTTACCCATGGCATCACAAAGCAGCCAGAGGTGAATTAGAAATAAGCCCCAAATAACCTAGCTCCTGATGCCCTTACCACTACAGAACACAGCCTCCCTATGGAGTTGTCACAAGAGATGCACCTTGCAAGAAAATAGCAGCTGGAGTTCATAGACTTTGATAGGTGTTTACGCCAATAAGATTCACAAGCTCAGATTTTGTTCCTTATACGCCATAGAAAGTTACCAATGGATTAATCCCAGAATGAATCATTTTCCTAATGACTTGGAAAGAGTTTGTTAATGGTCTATTCTTAGGCATTTTTTCTGCATGGGTTCAAACTGGGACAAAAGTGAAGAAAAAGACTGAATACTTCCATAATAAAATAAGAATACGGCTATACCGGGTCAGACCCATCATCCATCTAGCCCAGAATCCAGTCTTGCAATAGTAGCCAGGTGCTTTAGAGGGAATGAACAGAACAGAGCAATTTCTGAGTGATCCATCTTACCCTGTCATCCAGTCCCACTTTATGGCAGTCAGAGGCTGAGGGACACCCACAGCATAGACTTGCATCCCTGACCATCCTGGCTAATAGCAATTGATGAACCTATCCTCCACAAACTTTGATGCTTCTTTTTTTAACCCAGTGATATTTTTGGCCTCCACAACATCCCCTGGCAACTATTTCCACAGGTTGACTGTGCGTTGTGTGAAATTTCCATGCAGTTTGCAGGTGTGTTTCAATCTTGTGACTCTTCCTTTTAGTTTCTGCTTAACTAGCTTCTCATTTTTAAGTACTTCCCCTTTTTGGAGTTAAATGCTACTGAGACGGGTTTCTTTGGTATTTGTCCTGTAACGAGGATGTTACATTTAATTACATTATGTTCACTATTACTAAGCATTTCAGTCATACTCACCTCTTGGACCAGATCCTGTGATTCACTTAGAACTAATTCAACAATTGCCTCTCCCCTAAATCATGAATTGCACTGTCGTAGCTTTTATTATGTCTTTAACATGAACCATCACCTGGTTCTCAATCTTAAACGTGAGCAACACCTGAGCATCTAACTAGGTATTTGTCAGGACAGAAATAAACCCCATTGCTGCCTCCTATCAGATTCGTATTTACATATTTCAAACTACTACTAATTCCACCCCCCAGCATTTAAATATCTAAATTTGTTATTAACTAGCAAATTTCAGAATAGTTTACTTTTTACCATTTTTCACGTTATGCAAGGTGACAAATACAATACACTGATCGGTGTCCTCTGGGTTCTAATGCACTATTACTAATACTATGTTTGGATTAAAAACATGAGAGCATTTACATTTTTTTCTTTTTTTGCTAAAGCTTAAAGACTCAAAAATTTCTATATATTTTTTGGGGTTTTGTACAACCACTTAAAAATACAAGACCTAGACTTGAGGCCTAACAGTAGTTGGGCGTTTCCCTTTAAACAAAGTTTTCAAAAAAGAAAATCTGTTTTAAATGGAAACTAAGGGCAGAATGGAACTTGAGGACAATGATATTAGGGACTTGGGTGAATAAATAGTGACGAGCGGAAAAACAGTTACACGCCATAAAACCATGTTGATAGTCTTATAGCCAGTCCTCCATCTTCAAGTAGCAAATGGAGTTTAGGATCACTGTACAGGATAGATATTTGAGAAATGACAAATTATTGTATCACCTCTGATTAACCCAACTGGTGATTACACCACAACTGAAAACAAATTCTGAGTTGTACATCTCTTAGGATTTGCCTAGCACAGTGTGCTACCTTTTAAATTAAAAACAGCTCCTAGGTAACTGTAACCTAATCACTGCACCATCATTAAAAAAATAACAGGGGAAAGCAGAGAGATTAGCCTGTGGAAAGTTAGCCAGAGCAGCTGTTCAAAGCAGTAAGACTCCATGAACAAGAGGACCATAAGGACTCCAATTTTGGGTACTCCACCAATGATCAGACAGAAATAACAGCCTGAGACATCAACTGGATTGCTGCAGTGCAGGCTGCCAAATTACTTAGATTTTTTTTCCAATTTAAACGAAAGTGCTGAAGCCAGACAAAATACTGAATACAGGCACCTGGATACAGTGTCAAAAGCCTTGTCATTACAATTACTTCCCCCCACAGGAATGCAAAAGGAAATAAATATAGGATTACAAACAACTGATCAGCACACAACACTGGATTTCACACAAGGGCAGCACACACGCGAAAAACTATTAGTTGAAAGACATTGAATAACGGATTATGAACATAACTTCACTTCTAAGCTTAATTCTGCATTTTGTGTAAAAAAAAAAATTAGGTGCAAAATTCAACCCGACCTCAGTGACGGGTGGTTCTAACTCCACACCCTTGATTTAGCAGCTGTATTCAGGCAATGACCCCACAGCTGCCAGGCCTCTGTCATTCTCCGTCTCCTGCCCCCTCCCTCCCGATTCAGCTCCTAGAGGATTGTCCGTTCATCATCCCAATATGGCTGCCCTGATCATTATGCTGAACTGAATACAGACGATACAAGCACTATGGATGGGTCCAAAAACGCAGTAAATCCCCTGCCCTTATGGTCTCCCCCCCCACCCTTCCCCAGCAGATGCTCTGGGACCATCCTTCACTCACAACCCTGGAGGGAGCAAATACAGCCTCCACCATGCACCTGAAGATGGGGATGCAGAGATGCGGCTCGATCCGCACTTCGGGGAGGAGACGGGATCTGGGGACCGAGGTCCGGGGAGGGAGGGCGGGCGGGGAGACAGCAGAGGCTCTGGCACCGAGCGTCTCCTGGGGGAAGGGGAGAAGCAAGGGGGGGACTGGTGCGCCGGATCTGGCAGGCGCAGCAGGGAGGAGGAAAGGCTGCCAGCGAGCTCCACGCCCTTGGGCCGCTGCACCGACAGCTCAGGGCAATCTCCCTCGCCAGCAAAGCTCCAGGACAAGCTGGCCCCTGCCATCGCCGCCCGGGGGCTCCCCCACCCCCTGCCAGCACTACCCAGAGCCCGCAGCGCCCGGGTAAACAAGCGGCCCCCGCCCATCCCCGCCGCATTATGGCACCTACCTCTCCCCACCTAGGCTCCCCCCCCACTCCCCTTTCACGGGCGGCTTTACCGTCCCCCGGCTCCTCCCCCCTTTCACGGGCGGCTTCCCCATCGCCCCCAGGGAGTCCCCTCAGCGCTCACCTCGCGCGGGGCCGCGGACAGTGGGGGTCCGGAGGGATCCGCGGCGCAGTCAGCAGGAGAAGGAGGAGCCGGCGGAGACCCGCAGAGGAAGGGAGAGGAGAAGAAAAGGGCCGCCCAGCCCCATCACGGTGCCCCGGGACAGGCTCGGAGCCCAGGGCAGCCCCGGACCGGGAGGGAGAAGGAACCCCCGAGAGGAGCCGGCAGCAGCTCCGCTGCCTTGGAGCGCCGCTTGCAAACTGACTAAGCCGATCCCTCAGCCCAGCAGCGCCCCGCCCCCATCCCCGAGCAACGCTACCCCCCGCCAATCCCAGCGCGGCGACGCCCCTTCCCCCAATCCCAGCGCGGATGAGTGCTTAATCGCATCGCGCCACTCCGCCAATCACAGCCCGAAACAGAAGAATGGGCTTGTCCAACTCAATGCCGCTCATGGGGGTGGGGGAAGGCTGCGCTGCCTCCTTGGCCAATCCCACTGCGAAACGGCGTGAAAAGTCCGCCCCTTCATCTCTTTAGCCAATCAGCGTTCGAAAGAAATTATTCTCCTTTCTCCCCTAGCCTATGAAGAGCAGCCAGGGGACGTTCGTTCATCCCCTATCCCGCCCGGCTGCGGAGGAACACCGGCCCGGGCCTACGGCTCTTTGCGGCGGAGGAGGCGGCGGCGGCGGCGGCGGCCGTTACTAGTGGGGTACCGCCGCAGGGCCCAGGGCTGTCGAAGGGGATTCAGGTCTAGGACCCTGCCTGGCAGAGGTGTGGCTCGAGGCCTACTTCTCCCATAGCATCTGGTTGCCGCACAACCCACTGCCTCCCCTCCTGAAGGGGGCCCGCCCCATGAGAAGGGTAATGAATGGTGGGACAGGCCACTTCCCGGGGCAAGTTCTCCTTCCTTGTCCCGGCTGCTGAGACTAACTCCGGTCACCCGGCTGCAGGCCCATCTCCATCGCTCCAGGCCACGGCCGCAGACAAAGCCCCGTCTCCCAGCAAGATCGTGGCTTCTCAGTGCAGACGGGAGTAACGTTTTCTTCATCAGTTTCCTTGCTGAAGGGAAAAGAGCAGCCATAAAATCCTACGTGATAGTTTGGGGGTTGCTGGCTGTTGAAAAGGAGGCGCCATGCTGACTGTGCTGGGCAAGGAGACGAGAGAACTGTTCCCAGGCTAGTAAGAGAAGGGTAGCTTCAATTCTGCTGTTAGCAAAGGAGGGGGAGCTGTTCTCCATCTTCTCTCCCCCCCACAAGCACTTCTATCTCAGCCTTAATCCTGGAAGAGTTTTATGGAGAGAGGAGTTGTATTTTAGGCCAGCTATTCGTGACCCAGTCTCTTAGATATACTACGTCATCAGTATTGCCAACTCATGAGTCAGGTGCCCAAAAGAGTTGCTTGGCTCAAAGTCATGTGATTTTAAAACCTAATACACTTTAGGTTCTTTGTATATGCCTTCTGGTTTGTAAATCCTTAGGATTCACATTTTCAAGCTTTTCTCTGTAATTATGAAGGCTATAAAATTACTTTTAAAATTAAAGCTGCGAGACTCACTTAGTCACATGACTCCAGAAGTTGCAGCTTTAATAAAAACATCAGCTATCCCAAGACTCACTAAAATCATGAGATTGCAAACCTGTAACATACTCTTTAGTGAGCCAAATAAATTACTAGTGTAACAGCATCTCCAAACTTATTTTAATGTAATGCCACTTCAAGAATTAATTTGTTCAGTATGTTTACAGACCGTATCTTCTTATAGGTCAGTAATTTTACTCCCAAATATATGTTACTCTGGACCCTGGGTAATCTTTAACATTTCACTTGTTTAAAAACTATAGATAAATGGAAAGAGGATATGGGGTTTTTTTTAAGTATAAGAAAGAAGAAAGCAGCATAAAAGGAGCTCTGCACTTATTAGGTAGAAGGGAGAGAAGGGCTAGCTATAGTAGGCAGAGGCAAAACAATTGTTTTAGCACTACAGCTGATTGTTTCTTCCAAATTTAAAGGGGCAGTTACCATACAGGTATGCTGGGAGAAGCTATAAAAGGGTAAACCCAATGATTCCTAGGCAGTTAGGACCTTTGGAAGGTTTTTAATTTACAACAGTGAGTGCTGGATTAGGCCCAATGAAAGCAAGTTACATGTACAGAAAATATATTGTAGTCTCTTTAGAAGGGCATTTTGGGGTATGAGGCAGCTTGAATTGTCTAGAGCTACAAACTGGCATCTTCTTTACACATTCTCATGGCCATTTGTTTTCCTGTGAATGTTTAAATAGCTTTTGTAAACTTGTGTAATCTAAAGTTATATTTGAGTGCTTTAAATATTCATGATGTATGTCTTACTGCTTCATGCTAAAAATTGATTTGTAGTGACAATCTGCTCAAAAACTCTTTCTAGCTCTATATAGATTGGCCTATGCTACTTTGGGAAAAAATGGATTGGAAGGAGGAGAAAGCTCAACATATGCCCTTGAGCGAAGGCAATGAGTGAATTAATAAAGAGGGAGGTCAAGACTCACAGTTCTTCCTTTGAGGAAAACTACAGAGTTATGGATGGGAGAAATTACACTTTTCTTGGCCCACTGAAATTGTCATTTAATCAACACTTTTAAAGAGCTGGTGTGAGGTTTTTAAACTATTACAAATTTCCAGTCTGTATTCCTGCTAAAGCTACATTTACTACATGTATAGTTTTGAAGCATTAAGACAATTAAATCAGATCAGCCCAGGATACATTTGGTTGTCCAATTTGGGTTTAAAATACAACTATCTTCATAGTCTACTAATGAGTGCACTGCACTGAAAGCCCTTCTTTCTTCCTGATACTTGGATAGACACAGACATATCAGTTATGTGGTTAATTGCCAGATATTTGCAGTGTAAGTGAATGCAGAAAAATCTTGCATGCATGAATAAATTCTTGTTTTCTACCTGTTCCACAAAACTCCATTTACAAATGTAGTAAGCAAAGTGTCAAGATTTTTAATCCTAGCAGACCATTTCAAGTTAAATTTTTTCAAAAACGCTGTTGTCTGAGGTCATTCAATAAAGAAGGATGAAGTCACAGATCTTTTTTTGGAACTGTCAATAGGGAAGTCTGTGCTGTGCTGCATGTGACTCTTGCTTCTGGTCCTCAGAGTGATTAACATGTAATACTCTGTTGTTAGAGGTGGCAGCATTTTGCACAAGTAAGGCCAAAATAGTCAAAAGTGGCAATTAGTTCTGGGTGCCTCAACTTTTGGTGCTTCGTTTGGGACATGTTGGGTTCTGATATAAGTGCTAAGCACCTACAACTTCAAAAGGAGACATGGATACTCATTACTCCTGAAAATCAGGCCCAAGGTGGCACATAAATCAGGGGGCACTCCTGAAAATTGGAATGTCAGTGTCTTTTCTGCTCAGTGTTGTGGTCCTTGTTTTAGTTAGCATTCTCCTCAGGCTGATCTTGTTGCCAGGCTTCCTGCAGGGTAGAAAAATAGTAGTTGCAGAAGAAAATCCTCATTCATGACCTGGTAAAAACAATCATGTCAGGAAATGTGTGTTGTTCAGATCCTACAAAGAAAATAATAGTGAGGTCTGGAGCAATGTTAAGTAGGCAGGTCATTTATGTAAACAAATGCCTCCTGAATGCAACTAAATTCAGTGAAAATGATTATTGGTACTTCTGATGAGCCAGCTGGATGATGTGCAAATGTCTGCTTCTTGCCTATCTATCAGAGGTGAATAATAATTTTGTGGATCTTTAACTCTCTCTCTCCTTGTTAATTGAGAAGGAAGAACTCACAATTGTTAAATACCTTAAGCCATAGAAATTATTTTCAGCTTCAGCTTATGTTTTGTTATTCAGCACATGTGCAACAATACTTATATGGCCTTCGTGTTTTGGTGGCCATCAGGCTTTATTGTTCATCACTGTTTATTTACTAAGGCAAAACTAAGGTCAGTATTTATGTAATGTATCAATATGCCTCGATGTTCATTTTAGCAGACCTCAGAGTCTGCATATTGCTTTTGACAGTCTGTTCATCTTTCACAGAAATTCTAATCACATTCTAATCTCTCAGCTTTCCAACTGCAGAATTTCACACCCACTCCACAACTAAAACTTGAGTGGTTCTAGAGACTGAAACCCAGCCACTCAGCATCATCCTAACACCCAAAATCTTTCTGCTATCTTTGTAATTAAATCTTAGCTTTTAAAACTATATTTTAAATAAGATTAAAGATTACATCTCTTGTGTGGAGTGATTTTACTCTGTATATCTGCTGGAGCTATGAGGATGCCTGCTTGTGTTTCTCCAGGCCTTGTCTTGCAGCACTGTCCTTTTGGCAGAGATGAAATGGATGGGACTCCCTTGAGAACTGAATTTTCCTCCTGAGTTAACTGGAGGGGTTGCTGTTGAATATTGTAAGGCAGAGTGTCTCACCGCAATATCATGGATTTAAACTGAGCATTCCAGAATGTAAACCAACAAGCTGAAGAATTGTACTGTCATGCTGGTCTTTTATTAAGCACAATTTCTTTTTGCAAATGTTTGATGCCCAAGATTTCTATATCCAGTACAAGATTTATTTTTGTTCCTCTCAATCACAGTGTTCAATATTTGTTTGTATTAATCTGCATTCCTTTTGACACATTCTAAGAAGTTTAAAAATGGGGGTGGGGGATTTTATTATTTGTCCTTTTCTATTTGGCAAACCTTTATTTCCCTTCCCCCCCACCCGCAATGTGTTTTTGGATCAAGTTGACATGAGCATAAGTGTTTTTGTTTAGCAGCTACAATTTTAACTTGCGTTCATAGTGATTCTTTGCATGGCAGCATGATTGTCAGTACAGATGTGGAAACATTACTTGCTAGTTAAACATTGCTGCAGAACCTGCAAAGCAAGAACAAAATGTAGTTTTATAGGTCCTATAAATTACCATTGTTATGGTTTTCAAGTTCTTGTTGATGAGAGTATGAGATTTAGAAGTAAACAAAGAATCTAAGCAAGATTGAATCTGGTGCCTAAAGCGTTTGACATTGCCTTCTTAAAAAATCCTATCTTTAAAAGCCTACTATAAATTATTAATGTCAGATATCTGTTTTGTTGTCACCGTATCCCACAGCTTTCCCTGGTGACAGCTGGAGGGGTTTAATTTCACTCAAAGATCCTGTGAACCATTTGTTTATGCATCATTTTTCTATAACAGACCTTTTTTACTAATTAGGAGCAACCTCGTATCAGTTAACTTAGGTCTTAAAACCATGATTTAAAAAAATCCCACATTGTCATTTATAGGAATTTCTGTGCAATGACAAATGGTCTCCAAACACATGGGCAGAAGAAGAAAGGGCCTTAAGGAGGCTCACCACCAAATTTCATACAAGTCTGTAAACTGAATAAATATAACAGTACCTAAGGATTGATTGCAAAAAGGAATAGCTTAGTGTGCTCCTTGAGTGTCTGTTGGGGTAATGGCTTTTCTATAAAGGATAAAAAGGATTTTAGGAGGAGATACCTTGAGGCTTAAACTGTCACCATATGGAGTGGAATTACATGCAGGTTCTTAAATGTTTTTGTTTTTTCTTTGTCAGTTACAAAGTATATACAATACGCTATCTCTTTGTGTGAACTAAGTATGAGCTAGTTCACCTGATGGATGATACTGTGGGGAAAGAAGGATAAATTGAATGGGCCAAAGTGGTCCCTGATAGAACTCCATTGAAGTCACTGAAGTTTAGATTCATAGATTATAGGACTGGAAGGGACCTCGAGAGGTCATCGAGTCCAGTCCCCTGCCCGCATGGCAGGACCAAATACTGTCTAGACCATCCCTGATAGACATTTATCTAACCTACTCTTAAATATCTCCAGAGACGGAGATTCCACAACCTCCCTAGGCAATTTGTTCCAGTGTTAGAGGAGAGGAAAGTGATCAGGAACAGTCAGCCTGGATTCACGAAGGGGAAGTCGTGCCTGACTAACCTAATTGCCTTC